AGCTGCTGGGGTTTGAAAGAGAACTGAACAAATATTTCTGGAGCTTCATCGGGTGATGGCCTCCAGCTTGCACTGCAACAGTTTGCAGCAGAGTGCGAAACGCTGGGAATGAGAATCAGCACCTTTAAATCTGAGGCCATGGTTCTCAGCCGGAAAAGGGTGGAGTGCCCACTCCGGGTCAGGGATAAGTTCCTGCCCCAAGCGGAGGAGTTTAAGTATCTCGGGGTCTTGTTCACGAGTGATGGGAGAAGGGAGCCGGAGATCGACAGACGGATTGGTGCTGTGGGAGAGCTGAGTGTAAAAGCGAAGTTCTCAATTTACCAGTCGATCTAGGCCCCTGCCCTTGCCTACGGCCGCGAGCTGTGGGTAGTGACTGAAAGAACAAGATCGCTGATACAAGCGGCGGAAAGGAGCTTCCTCCGAAGGGTGGCTGGCCTCTCCCTTAGAGATAGGGTGAGGAGTTCGGCCATTCGGGAGGGGCTCAGAGTAGAGCCGCTGCTCCTCCACATCGAAAGGAGCCAGCTGAGGTGGTTCGCTGGGTGAGGTGTTTTAGGCATGTCCCACTGGCAGGAGCCCCGGGGCAGACCCAGGACACGCTGGAGAGATTATATCTCTTGACTGGCCTGGGAACGCCTTGGTGCTCCCCTGGATAAGCTGGAGGAGGTGGCTGGGGAGAGGGAGGTCTGGGCTTTTCTGCTTAGGCTGCCGCCCCCACAACCCGGCCCCAGATAAGCGGAAGATGGATGGATGCTCATTTGTCTCCAGTTACATATTTTTTGAACGTGTTTCTGTGTCAGACTAAGCACAGACTACTGTTAGTGACAGTGTGATTAATGTGAATATGACCCAGCAGTGAGTTCACAGACTGAAAGCCAAGTTTAAGTCTGTACACAAAGACAAGTAAATGCGTATTTGTTTTGTCTTCCTCCTTAGTTGCTGGCTATGCTCCTAAAGAAGAAGCGCTCGCTGCTAAACAGCCACATCCTCCACCTCACCTTCTCTCTGGTGGGAACAGTTGACAGCGGCCACGAAACCTCTATCATCCCCAACTCCACGGCCTTCCAGGACCTACTGTGTGACTTTGAGGTGAGTGTTTACAGGGCCCGTTGACCCATAATGCTTGTGAGCCAACTGAAATAAGGACATTAGTGTGCAGCTGTCAAAGAAAGCTTGCCTATTTAGCATTGATAAAAGTCTTGTTCCACTTAAACCCGTCTCTGCTAATAAAACGGAGAGTTTGCAGGTATATTTTTGCATTTGTTAGAACCGAAAAAGAAGTGTTTTTTTGATGTTGAAGTGTTAAGGAACTGAGCTACTCTGTGCCAGAAGTTTGTGCTGCCAGAAATGAGTTGTGCGGCAGGGTCTGAGTCTGCTCCGTCTGCTCCTCAGGTTTGGCTGCACGCTCCCTACGAGCTCCATCTGTCTCTGTTCGAGCACTTCATTGAACTGCTGACAGAATCCAGGCAAGTGTCAGAAGGAAGTTTCCCTGAACAAGAAACAGATCACATGGAGAATAAAATGACTTTTATTTTTTTGTAACTGCTGATTGGCACAATTATTTTCATTTTAACGTGAAAGCGTCTCACTGTGTGTTTTGCTGACTGTGTCGAATAGTGAGGCGGCTAAAAATGCTAAACTCCTGAGAGAGTTTCAGCTCATCCCACGACTGCTGCTCACCCTGAGAGACACCACGCTGTCCCAGCCCACTGTCGCCGCCATCAGCAACGTGCTCAGTCTGCTGCTGCAAGGCTTCCCCAACCCGTACGACCTGCTGCGGTAAGAACGCGCTCGTGTAGCCGCTACGTGAACGTCGGTGATGATGATCCATGCCAGTGCAGCATAAGACCGTTTGCTGTCTCCACAGGTTTGGCCAGTTCATCTCCTCCACTCTTCCCACATTTGCCGTGTGTGAGAAGTTTGTTGTCATGGAAATCAATAATGAGGAGAAGATAGACGGAGGTATGAGTGATATTAGTGTTGATCTGACTTCTTGCACCTCTATCCTAAATAACGTGTGGCCAAAAGTATATGGTCAGTGCTTGACTGTTTTTCTATCCTTAATAAATATGAAACATTTGGTACATCTGCAGGAAATGATGATGACTTTGGTGGCCTCCTATCAGCAAACCTCATTCTGCTGAGAAATCGACTGCTGGACAGCCTTCTTAAACTGCTTTTCACCACGAAAGAGAAGTGCACAGTTAATGCCCAGTAAGACACCGCTTTCCTCCAGACGTTGTACAGATTAAAAAAATAGCAGTTAGAGCCATTAATGACCATCCACAGACTGCAGGGGTACAGACACACATATCTGCTAATAATAATTCCTAACTAACATACTCTGATTTCACTCTGGAGCACAGAGCTCTGGGATCGTCTGTTGGTAGAATTAACTTCTCTTTAAGCCACATTATTTTAATAAATAGGCAGCAACACAAAAAAGTGATTCTGGTTAGCGTATTTAACGCCTAACAGGCAGATACAGCCGCCTGTGTCAGCATTTACCATCTATCATAGCTGCCATAATTCTAACGTTATAACTTTAAACCTTAATAGTCTTAAAAAGATGTTTTATTTAAAAATAATAATAAATGAAATCACTCCATGCAGTTGTTGTGAAGATCGCAATTAGCTCAGAGATTATATCTGTTTGTGCAGTAGGCTGTTAGCATGCTTACTTATTTGTGTAAAGTTGGGTAGATAAATGGTAAAAAAAAGATCTGCCGCTCATTCATCACTTCCTGCCTCAAAGCGCAGAGACTGCAACAGTGAAAACACTTTTATATGGTCTGAGCTTGGAGGCACCCCAAGTGGGCAGTTGAGGAACTGCAGTTTGCAAACTAAGCCGACTAGCACTTGTAATTTTTGTAGCCTTGGGTGTTGTTATTTGCTCCTTCTCTGTCATATCTGCTCATCCTGAAAGCTTCAAGTTAAAATGCAAACTCTCACGCTGTCCATTTATTTTGAAAACTATGAATAATCAATCATAAAAGCGCCACACAACATTATTCTTGTTCTTTGATCTTTTAAAGACTTTTATCATTAAAAAGCTATTTAGCTCCAGTTATTACTGGAATATGGCTCAACTTGACTCAAATAATGGCAATATGCCCAGCGGCTGACAGAGATGGAGATTATAATGACACTGGTTGATATAATGAGCAAGCAGAAGCAGAAATATTGACAAAGTATTTAAAATGTTGTGAAAAGAACTGATAATAAAGTAACAGTAAACCTTCAAAACTTTTTCTCCCTGCAGGGCGTGTGAGGAGCTGGTGCGAACGCTGGGCTTTGATTGGCTCCTGATGTTCATGGAAGAACATCTCCACTCCACCACAGTGACGGCAGCTCTGTGGATCCTGGTGGTGCTGCTGTCCAATCAGTCGATCCTCAACCGCTTCAAAGAGGGCCTGTGCGGAGGAGGCTGGCTGGACCACACCGACTCCGTCCTGACCAATAAGATCGGCACAGTGCTGGGTGAGTGCAGCAGCGTGGGTTTGCTGTCATCGCAGCACAAAATTGGAGCTGAGAGGCTGGATTTGGTTAACATTAGGCACTCGCCTTTGAGGGATGTGTGCGTGTATTAGCTCCAGACGTTCAAACCTGTAAGCACCCGCTCTCAGAACAGTCACAAGTAAGAAATCGTGATTTCCAAGGTAAATACTGTATGTTGTAACATGGCTCAGCAGACGCCTCTCCTCACTCTGGCAACGCTTTCCGTCGGAGTTGGCCTTCGTTCAACAAACAGAGAGCTGCACAGTTTGTGCGCCGAACAGCCAAGGGTTGGTTCTCTCATTTTCACCCTCCCGCTTTCCCCTGCTGCTGCATCATGCCATAGTTCCTTTTGAACTCAGTGGTTTTCAACCTTCTCATTGCTCAGGTGTAAAAACCATTCTGATTCTTCAAAACTGGATTTACCAGCCTGGAATCATTTCAGATGTTGATGTTTGCTTTAATATTTCCATAAAACTTCTGTCTAGAGCAGGGAGATATGGCCAAAAATATTTATCACGATATATATTTGAAAATTTGCGATAACGATATAACTGACGATATAATTGATGCCAGACAAAATGCAACTCCACAACTTTGCTAGCGCAAAAAAAACTCATCCATTTATTTTCACTTAAACAAGCAGCTGTTTTATGTGCATTAAACCTATATAAACATATCCTGAGCATAACCATGTATAATATCCACTGAAGTTAAAAAGAGGTGCTTTGCAACATTAAACTGCAGTGTGCCAAATAAAAAAGTCAAATATGTATTTTCAGACCAAAAGGTGCACGGGATTATAAGACACATTAAGCAAAACAAAGCAGTCAGATAAATCAAACTTTACTCAACTCATTCTTCTTGCTTCCTCCACTTCTGTACCATTGATTCATTAATG